AGAAAATTCATAAGCTTTACTGTAGCTTTGTTTTACTATTTGACTTAGCTTCCAGGAGAGCTTTACTGTACTTTACCATGAAGATTCCCAGATTTAATTTGGGTATCACCACCATCTCTTCAGCTTCCAGCCAAATGCTCACAGTCTCATCCATTCTTTAGTTCCTGGCCTTTCTTTCTAGTTGCCAGCAACTCAAATTTTACACTACTCCCAAGTTTTCTTCCCCTGTTTTGCACTGAAATGTGAATCTCCTTCTGTGTTCTGATTTTGGGGATTGACAGTACTTTGCCTGCAGCTCTGCTACAGCACGCACTACCTGCAGTATCTGCGCTCAGGCTGGATCTTTGCTTTTTTATGTGGATGGTTATTGCACAAGGCTGATGCCAATCTTTTCTCTGCTAGCTGTCTGATTTTAGGGAAAAGGTTGATTAAGTTTAATGGAAAACTTTATTTTTTGATAACTTGATGAGCTAGACCAGAAGACAAGAAGAGTTTGAAGGACATCGGAATAAATGTTATCTTGAATTTCAATTTCACTAAAAGTTTTAATAGTTCTTTTTCAAGAATATCAGGAAAAAATGCATAACTTGGTTTTTTTCTTTTTTTCTTTTTTTTTTTTTTTTTTTTTTTTTTTTTTTTTTTTTTTTTTTTTCAGAGACTCATTACAAGTTAATTAAAGATTCTTTTTGTTGTTTTCATGGACTCTCCTTTTTCAAAGTTTAAGCATAGCAGCTGCTTTGCAGAAATAACTATAATGGTCTGTGAAGCGTATTATGAAGAAAATGCACAGAATTAATGTATTGTTGAAACCCCCTGGCAACAAAGTTTCACAGTACAGTGCTTACTGGTCTTAAGACGGAAATACAGTGGCTATCACATGATTAGCTACAAGAGCTAGCTACTCTGAAAGTCATGCTTCCTGTTTTATGATGTTGTCCCGCAAAATCAGAGGCAGATGTTGGTGGGATGGTAGTAGAGGCTGAACCTTCCCACCTAAATCCTGTTACATTTTGTTGCCTTGTGATAGATGACAGCAGAGGGGTAACTCTCTTCTCCAGGGTAACAGCGATGGGATGACAAGTTGTGCCAGGGGAGATTCTGGTTGGATATTTTGAAAAATGTCTCTTCAGAAAGAATATTTATGCATTGGAACAACCTGCCCAGTACAAGAAAGACAGAGAGCTGTTGGAGAGGGTCCAGACAAGGGCCACAAAGATGATCAGGGGACTGGAGCTGTTCCCCTACAAAGACGGGCAGAGGGAGCTGGGTTTGTTCAGCCTGGAGAAAAGAAGGCTGTGGGGTGACCTCATTGCTATTGCTGTTGCATTTCAGTACCTACAGGGAGCCTACAAACAGGAGGGGAATCAACTCTTTGAAAGGGTTCATAACTTCAGGACAAGGGGAACCTGTTTTAAGTTGAGGGAGGGAAGATTTAGGTTGGATGTCATGGGGAAGCTCTTTACAGAGAGAGTGGTGAGGTACTGGAACAGGCTGCCCAGAGAGGCCGTGGATGCCCCGTCCCTGGAGGCGTTCAAGGCCAGATTGGATGGGGCCCTGGGCAGCCTGGTCTAGTGTTAAATGTGGAGCTTGTTGGCCCTGCATGTGGCAGAGGGGTTGGAGATTCATGATCCTTGAGGTCCCTTCCAACCCTGGCCATTCTGTGGTTCTGTGATTCTGTGAAAGTGGTGGTGTCAGCATCCCTCCAGAAGTTGAAGAAACATGTAGATGTGGCACAGAGGAACATTGTTTAGTGGTCACTGTGATGATGGGTTGATAGTTGGACTTGGTGATCTCAGAGGTCTCATCTTAGAGGATCTTTCCAACCTTAATGATTCTGTGATTCTGTGATATCATCAAGATTATTGCATAAATTTACGCAGCTTCAAACCATAGAAGCACTACAGGAATCAGAGTTGCGCAAGTATTGGTAAAAACTCTGCAGAATCAAATAGTTAATCTCGAGGAACAATTAGAAAGAGAGAAACGCAATTCAGCTTTGTTGCAGATGGCTTTCAAGGAACTGTTAACATGTAAGGATACTAGCGATACTGTCACCCATAGTTTGCCTCAAGAAAAAACTTTTCCTCAGGAGCAGCTACAATAAATAAAGGAAAGATTAGACAAATTAGAAACCCCAATAGCCCCATTGCGTCCCTTGATAAAAACAGAATATACCTTCTATAACAGCGAGGATCTAGATCCTCAAATGAATGTTAAGGAAATTCCATTCTCGGCCACCAAACTAGCAAAATTGAAAAGGGACTTTAGCCGCTCTCCAAAGGAATCGGAAACAGAATATGTATGGAGCGTGAGTCTCACTGATGGCGACCAGATTCAGTTAACAGAAAAGGAAGCAGAAGGTTACTGGGGACCAGTATTTTTAACTACTGGTAACAATCGTGCTCCCTGGTCGTTAACGCAAAGGGCTGCCTATTGGGCAGGTGGTCTCAACACTTTAGAAAGGGGAGACCCTCTTGCCATTACTGGAACTACTGACCAATTAGTAGAGAGTGTTCAAAAGGCTGCTTGTCTCCAACTGATGTATGATAGAAAGCTGCAGCCACATCATGAATCGCCCATGATGATGCCCCTTGATCCTGAGAGAATGACCCCTTTAATTAGAGGGCTTCGGGAATCAATGAAACCCATAGGCATACAATTACAAGCAAGGATACAAGCTATGTCACAGGGACAAAGAACCCGAGCAGTGTTGTAAGAAACTGTAACCCCCAACCATCTGCAGTCAGGATGCAAAGTATGGACGTGGGGGGAGGTAGCCCAAGAGTTAACTAACTATGGAAGAAAATATGGGCCGGTGGTTTCTTTTCCCAGTAAATCTGAGCCCAGAGGTGTAAGGCTTGCAGCAGCCAGTCTTGCCCCCAGGCCACCTAGCCCAAAGCTCAGTGGGTCTGGAAGGGTCTCATTGCCAGTAAAAACCAGTAGGCAGAATATCTTTCACAAATGTAACGAACTTTGGACTCTGGGCTGGAAAAGGGTTATTCCACGAAATTTGATGGATGGACTGGCAACAGATAGGTTTGAGAAATTAGTTAAATGGTGGCCAGAACAAAAGCTCGAGAATCTTGAGGAAAGCAAAACCCCAGGTCTCTCCCCAGGCCTCTCTCAGGGAACCTGAACTATCCAAGCCATTAGAAAACTGATGCCTCCGCCCCTCCCAAGTGAGCGGGGTGGGGGCGGTGAGGGGTGGATGTATTAGAAAGCTCGCAACAAAGGGAAACACTGATCTCCCGGGCCAGCCTGTGTCGCTTGGCTCAGCTAACCTGAGGCTGGTTTCCCTAACCGTAATGGGATACCTTAACAATATCCTTGGAAGGCCAAGGACACCGTGAAAAAGGAATATAAAATTAACACTTGCTGGATTGTTGCCTCATTTTTTTAACCATATTAACAAAGCCCCCAAAAAAGGGCAAATCAGTATCTCATTTTATTTTTCAGAATACTCCTATGGACCTTGACTGAACACAGAAAGGACTCTAATGTTTTGTGACAGAAATATTGAAAATTTGATCATGCTAGAATACTGAATATACCTCTTGATTACATTTTGTATTTTGGTTGCAAAAGAACTATGTTTTGTGTAGTTGTGGGTGGTAATGTTGTATCTCTGTTATATTTATTTGTTATTGGTTATTGACTCTTACGTCTGTTACTTGTATGGTTCTGTGCTTTATAAAATGTGTTGTATCACCTATGTAGTTTGTAACCTCCTCTACTGCTGGGGAAGTCAAGCACATCAGGGCCCAGCCTGAGAAATCTTTTGTAATTATTATATTAAATATTTGATTCCTTGCCCCCTTCCCTCCTTTACCCTTATGCTTGCTATCCTTTTCTCACCATCGTGGATCATCTGTATCCCATTTTAAAGGAACCTTTAAGTCACGGAGTGGTGTAAGATATTATTCTGTTAACGTCTGTGTCTCAAAGCTTGCTGGGGACACAGATGGACTTGTTCAAGTCCCGGCAAGTCCTGGGCAAAGGTTGTGAGATCCTTTGCCTGGGGGACGCAGATGGACAAGGCCAGGGGAAAGGAGAGCGAGATGAGCTGCAGCTAAATAGCTGTGAAGTGCTCCTTTGTGTGGACTTATCTCAGGATGATGGCCATCTCAGGGGGTACTCAATGACTCTTGCTCAAGGCCCATCCTTGTCACCCAGGCAGGAGAACAAGGAGGATAAAAGAGGAACTGAAAACCATGAGGATAGGTTTCTGGCAGCAGATTCCTCGTGAAGCAGAACAGAGGTTTCTGGAAACAGATTCCTCATGAAGCAGAAGAGAGGCTTCTGGCAGCAGATTCCTCATGAAGCAGAACAGAGGTTTCTGGCAGCACATTCCTCATGAGGAAGAGGGATTCCTGACAATCAGATTCCTCGTGAGGTGACTCCTTCATGCTGTTGAACTCTCCTGTGCCTGCTGCCGGAGCGCTGCTGCTGCTTCAAGGACTGGCTCTGCGACTTCCCCGTCTACCTGCTTGCTGCCCAAGGCCGGCCACGCTGCTGCTTCTCGCCCCCCGCTCCCCCCCGCTGGATCCTGCTGGTGACCATCCCTGCCTTACGCAACTCTTGCTTCTTTCCCATCTTTTCTATCGCCCTCTTTCCCTTCCCCGTCTCCCTGATCAGGTTTTGTAATAAACTGGTCGGAACAACACATGAACCGTTGTTTCTTAATCGCACGCCGGGTGTACAGATATTAAAAGAATCTCATCTCCCTCCTATAAATTGGAGCGAGGCAGCCAGCCGCTTCAAAAGTAAGGTAATAACAATAATAAAAACGGTCCAAGTGTAATTGTAATTGTTGCTCATAAGCTTTCCCCGACCTTTGTTCCCATTCGAGGGGCGCTGGGTCAGGCTCCTCGCTCGTTAATACGGAATGCTTTGTCATGTGAGCCCGGTTCGGGCCGACGAGCACACCGGAGTTGGAGGGCAGGGCTGAACTTTGCTCTTGCTCCGGGGCAAATGCAATTAGGGGCGGTGCCTGCTCTGGCGATAAAAGCTCCAAGAGACTCTTGTCTTTGTTTTCTAGGACGTGTGTCGTGATTTTGGGAGCTCAGGCCGGATCGGTGGCGGAGGCGTGTGATCCAGTATTGACAGCAGAAGACGGAGCTTTCCATCACCGCCCGTTCTAAGTATGAACTTCTTCCTGCTTGTTTGTGAGAATGAGGTTACCAGGGAAAAACACGTGCAAGCCGCTTGTTTGTTTGTGCGTTGTTTGGAAAACACCATTGACAATACGATGCCAGGCTTTAGCCCGGAGATTGGCAACCGCGGAAACTTTCCACTGATGGGGTTGTTACTGACCGGGAAAAGGCTTTTCCCAGTTTTCTTAAACCTTCTCGTTTTCCTTAAACCAGTGGATTTTACCTCCCGAGTTTCTTCGCCGCGGGAGACGCGCATCTCAGCGGGGCTGACCTCCCACCCCGCTGGTCTCGGCCGTGAGTGCGTGTCAGAGAGTGGTGGCTTCAGGTGTTGTTATCAGGCGGACAAGATGCCTGTGTTTTGTGGTCCCCTGAGGCGCTATGCAGCCCTTGCTCGCAGCTTAGCACCGTTTAGCATCTCTTTGTGCTGTTTATTGTGCAGGATGGTGACTGCCAAGGTGTGGGTAATGAAGAAGCATTTTGAGGGTTTCCCCCAAACCAGCGACTTTGAAATGAAACAGGAGGCGCTGGCAAACCTGAAGGATGGAGGTGAGTGGAGTGCTATCGCTGTCTGGAGGCTGTCTTACTGCAGACAGTGGCCGTGCGTTTGTAGGTCTGTCCATGTGTTCCTCACGCACAGTTTGTAAAAGGCTTGGCAGGGCTTATGGCAAACCGGCAGGGTAGGGCAATTGCTCAAGGATGTGTATCTTGGCAAGTTTAGTGTGTTTAAAGACATCTGACAATAAACATTGGATGTGCTAAACTGTGTTTAGCCTTCAGGCAACTCTGGTGGGCCTTTCAAAGTCCCACTGCACTAAAAACGTGTTAGTGATGCCTCATGGTTTTCAGCTGTGTTGGCAAATAAAGCATGCTGGAGAAAATCGCTGAAGCAGTGCGCCCTCAAAACCGACTGCTGTAAGAAAACAATTAGCATGATTTAAAAAGAGAGAAAGGCACTGGCTGCAGCAAATGAGGTACTTCTAGTAAAATGCAAACATGCTTTATTATTGTAAAGTTGTCATCTGCTTTATCTTACAAAATCCTTTGGAAGCTGGAGAAGATGGTAACCTCCGGTTTTCTTTGTTATTTTTTTCGTAGCGGGAGAGAATGCTGAAGGATAGACCTGGGGGACAAGAGAGTAATTAAGGTGGGACTGAGCCCCTTTTTGGGTGTTCTTAGAGCAGGAGTTGATAGGGGCTTGTCTTCTTATCTGTGATATTTGCCCTGTTAGTAAGAGAGAAGAAAAAGAGGAATAATAAATGCACAGGTTTTACTTGTGAGTTTCTATCTTGAAAAGAGTTGGGAGTAAAATAATCTTGGCCAAACCCAAGAGATACTGATAAATGAATGAACCTACGGTTTTGGCTTCACATGGTCATCTGCACCACGCTGTCTTGAACCGCATCCCACTATTTATCCTTCACAAGATTTACTTTGGTTTAGGCGGCACGTCAAAGAAACCTCATTAGAGTAATAGTAATACTAGTTAGGCTTACAATTTAATGGTTTGGAGGGTGGTTTCTTCTTAGCTGTACTTCTATGGATTCTTATGGCATGTGTGGCTCTTAACTCACCCATACATACTTAGTACTTTAACTTATAATTATTTAAGAACACAGAGTCATTTAAAACGTGGCCTTTCTTTTGATGTTACAACAGCCTTGACTGTTCCTCCTGCTCACTCTGAGCGACAGGAAAATATGTGTTAAAATAGATCGCTATCTTCTATTTGTTAGGTTGCTGCACTGGCCATTAAAAAAAAAAAAAAAAAAGCATTACTGGATGGAGGTGGGCAGCTATTGCAGATTAAACCACCTAGGGAAGGTGTTCTTCTGTTCAAGGGAGCAAGGTAATTGTTGCATATGACATTCACCAAAGTCTTTTACCACCCTCTGCTGGATGAATCCTGGGAAGATGTACACAGGTGAAAGAAAAGTGCTTTGTTTAGGAGGTCTGGCCTGTTGAATCTTCTATGAAGTGAGAAGGCAGATATAGACAAATGGGACTGAAGAGAAGCTAGCTTTCCAGCAATTCTTCCAAAGATATCTTTTATAGGAGCATAGTGCTAAATCCAGATAAAGCTACAGAATGCCTTAGTTGTTCCTGGTAGTTTGTTCCTGTCTGATGCCAATAGGACTTTTTAAACTATTGGGGGTTCCTATAGCTTTTTTGTGACTTTTTTGACTTGTGGAACCTGTGCTTTACCACTGTTACCCAGCTGTTTGCTTTGTCTTTTGTTGCAGAGCTGCTGCTTGAATCAGTTTTTCTTAGTGTTGATCCTTACATGAGGTATGTTTACTCACTTGTGTTCTCAAACCTTAATAAATGTGTACTGGGAGCATCCCTTGTTGCCAGGGTCCCAGGATGCTTGTTTGCCTTGTATAAAATGTATACATTAGTGGAGACCCATGTCAGATTCAGCAGGACATTAGGATAGTTATACTGTGGACATGCAGTTTTCCTGAACCCTGTCGTTGTCCCTTGTGGTGACTTTTGTGCTAGAATACAGTGAGCCCAAAGGAGGCTGCAGCCCTGCTGCAGAATCTGCTTTGCTTATCTATTCAAGCCTGTACTTGGGGATATGCATTCTAAATAGGAAATTACTGATATGTTTTTGGTAACAGACAGCAGTTCAATTTCAGGGAGACTGGGTATTTGCCCAGAGCTATGAAGAAGTCTGTTAGACCCTATCTCAGAGATAATTCTTTGGAGTCTCAGCTTTCTTGTAGTGGTAGACCAGCAGTGAAGACTAGTGCTGTCCTATTCCTGACACTTCAGCTTGGTGCTGATGGGGTGTTTCAGTAACTGTCTATGGAAAATACCCAGTTATGTCATTACAAGGGCAAGCTACTTGCAGTGTGTTCAAAGTCATTAGTTATGTTATTTCTGGGTCAGAATACTGTATAGTTTCTGGAAGATCACTTACTCTGGAAGATTACTTACAGTAAGCTGTCTCTCTGCCTGTTTTTACAGACCGGTCAGTAAAAGGGACATGAAGGAAGGGGATGTAATGGTTGGCACACAGGTTGCCAGGTAAGACCTGTTCATCTTATCCATCCATGTGGCAGATGTCAAAGGAATGTCCTGACATTTACAGCCTGTGCCATGTTCTTTTGATGCAAATCAAATACTGCAGAATCTGCATTCCTTTTTTTCATATTGATTGGAATACTGTACTATTTTTAATTTTTTTTTTTTTTCCTTTAAAGATTACAATTTTCTTTATGATTTTCTATAATAACCTTTTCTGCCTTCTTGGAGAGCATCTAGGCCAACAAACTGTCATTTCTAGAGACAGTTACAAGGAGCAGCACAAGGGGCCAACCATTAAACATGACTCCAAGTGTCAACTTCATGTTTTAAAATCTGATATGCAGTAATTGCATACCTAAGACTATGCATATCTGTTCCAGCTGTGACTGTTTCTAGAATGCCAGATGCTATATGACCGTAATCCAACCTTGTGGTAATGACTTAGCTACATAGATGTTTCCCTTTGTCAGCTTGCTCCTGCTGCGCTGTCTCTATGTTGCTGCCCAAGAACATCTGCGACCTCTGACTCTTGTGTTTCTCTGGAAGAACATCGGGGAATAGAACAAGCTGAACAAAAAACAATCTATTTTCAATGTTTTGAGGATGCTTAATTATTTCTTTCCAGGACAATTTTCTCACTGGGCTAAGAAAGCAGAATTTTCGTTTGGCATAGAGATACCCTAAGTATGAACTTCTGTTATTAGATACTGCCTTCCTTAAGGAGTTTTTTCTTGTCTCAAGAGGCTCCATATCCAGGATCTTCAACTTTTAAATTAGGTGCATGTTTTCTGAGAAAGGAAATGCCTTTAATATCATATTTGTACCTCAGTTTCATACTTTTACATCCTTCAATCCCACTGTCCTTTTTTATGCCTTGGAGCTCATAGAAGCCTAGTTTGAATTCATAGCAGATGATGCTGGTAAAGCAAGCAAACAATCAAAATAAAAACCAAAACAACAAATGAAAAAAGGAATGGCATCTATATAGAACATCAGTTTTTTCATGGTTCAGGCTAAGTCTAGCATCATCTCACCCAGCTTTCCCATGGTGACAAGAGATAGTAACCATTTTAAGAAAAACATCAGCAAGGTATGGGCTAGATGTCCTGACACAAAGTATTCTTTTCTCCTGCATCAAAGCACAACAGAAATAAGAGGAAAACCCCCCAAAAGACTTGTCTCATAGATTTTTATTTTTATTTATTTATTTTTTTTCCTTTGAGCAGGATTGTAGAAAGCAAGAATCCAGCTTTTGCAGTAGGGACCTTTGTTGTGGCTAATAGAGGCTGGAGAACTCATTTCATTTCTGATGGGACGGACCTGAATCTCCTGCCTGCAAATTGGCCAGAATCACTCCCCAAGTCTCTAGCACTTGGGACAGTTGGTATGCCAGGGTGAGTATCAAGGTCCAAAGGAAGCTATCCTCTGGATATTGCTCTGCAATAAAAAAATCTTTTTGCCTGATCTTTTTCTGCCACGGTGCTGTCTGATCACTCTTGTTTTAAATAAATAAATAAAGCTGTAATTCAGGATGCTTTTGCCCTGTAGAGGACCTGAAGTTTAACCCACTTTTTGGATTGGAGGAAATTTGGCTTGGAGGTTAGCATGCCTTTTCATGTGGTCAGTCAGGAAGAGGATCTAGGAAGGGCTGGAAAAAATCAAGTCCAGTCTGAATCAACCTGATTGGAAGGACTCAAACTTGAGTTATGGATATGGGCTAGTCTGCTTTTATCTATTGCCAGAATTGCCCCCAAAATGACAATACAGCTGTCACAAAGTACAGTGAAATAGCAGTCCTTAAGCTTGAAGCACTAAGCTAGAAGAAATTAAAGAGAAGCTTGTTGGGCTTGAGAGCCAGTTGGTCATGTTGCTTAGCCTTCCAACTTGTGAGCACAAGGAAAGCTGTTTTCACATAAGATGGAATTGTACATCAATCATCATGCTTCCCAGTAACATGCATTAGAAAGTTTACAGCCAGTCCAGAAAAATAAGACAAGTTAAAATGTTCGGCTCATAAGCAAAATTAAGAAGTTGTATAGTTGTTTTTTTTCTTTTTAGTAGTATTTCCACAAGCATAAATAAATCTCAACCTTGTTCTAGTTGTGCTGGTGTTTTAGTTTAATGAGATCAAGTCACACTTCCATGTCTGAATTCTTTTTTTCCACACTGAGCATTTTTCTTTTTCTTCACAGCCTCACTGCTTATTTTGGTCTGTTTGAGGTCTGCAAGATGAAGCCAGGAGAGACAGTGCTGGTCAATGCTGCAGCTGGTGCTGTGGGCTCCGTGGTGGGACAGCTTGCTAAAATAGGGGTGTGTGTCTTGAACTGGTCAGACTTGCACACTGGAGGGCTATTGTGGGAGACAGAAGAACAAGGCCATAAATGATCAGCAGCACAAACAACGGTGAAGACATGCATTCAATAAGTTTTTGAGATGAAACAAGCTCCTGAGGATATAGCAAAGCTTTGGAGCTTAGGAGTTCATATTCACAACCACCTGACTTCAAAAATGAGCCTTCCACCCTGCACTCTTGCATTTGCAGTGTGAACCTGTGTTGAAAAACATTTCTAAATGCTCTTTCTTTCTTGCAGGGTTGTAAAGTGGTGGGCTGCGCTGGCTCAGATAGCAAGGTTGCTTACCTGAAAAAAATAGGCTTTGATGAAGCCTTCAATTACAAGACGGTTACATCCTTGGATGAAGCCCTGCGTAAGGCCTCTCCTGATGGCTATGACTGTTTCTTCGACAATGTGAGTTCTGGAAGATCCTTATCTTGAGCAGGCTGTCCATTTCCTTAGCCTATTGCAGGAACTCGATACTGAGTTCCATCTAACTGAGACATAGTTGCTGTAAGAGCTTACAGCATACTTCTTCCTTTCTTGTCTTTTTTCTGCAGCTGTCTTGATAAGCAACACAAAAAACAAATGCTGAGAGGCAAACCAGCTGTCTTGTCTGTGGATTTTCTCTAATGCTGCTTGTGGTCTGGTTCTTGTAGGTGGGTGGAGAATTTGCCAGTATTGCTATCCATCACATGAAGAAATATGGAAGGATTGCAGTCTGTGGAGCCATCTCTCAGTACAATGACACTGTGCCTCAGAAAGGTGTGGACCTCCTTTTGTGTGTCTAAGTTTAGTCACTATTTGGTGATGGCAGGGTAAAAGACATAGTGGCTCAAGGTGCTCAAGTTTTGCTGTGTTTCTCAATGTGCCAGTTGCCTGTGTGTTTGTGTACATTCAGATAACAAACTAATGAACTCTGGGGGATCTGATGTGTGACCACACTTCTTATGTGTACACACGGACATTCTCCTTACTACATGCTCGTATCAGGTGGAGAACTTGTGTTTAGAAATGGAGGCAAGACTTGGCTGAAATGACATTCCCCAGGGCTCTGAGCAGATGCAGATTGGTGGAAGGCAGCAAATGTGGTGGAATGGTATCATTTACACAGTCCATAGTTCAAGTTATGAGAATAGATTTCCCTGAGGTTTTTAGATGAAAAGCTTCATTTTAGTTTGTGTGTGGTTGGCTTGTTTTTATTCCCACATTTTGTAAGTGCAGGACTTCAGTTACTGATGCAACTGCTGGTAAATATGTTTGAATTTAATATTCACTTTTAATAGCATTAAGTTTTCCAAAACTACTTTCTGGAAGAAACTGGAGGCTTCAGCAGCAGTATTCTCTTTGATGGCTACTGACTTTAGACTCCCAGATGGCTTTAAATGTGGGCCTCTTCAGGTGGGGGGGATGGGAGTGGGTATCATGAATTTTTTATTATTGAAGAAAATGTATTTTTTCCTGTTTTTTTTTTTTTTTTTTTTTTTTCTTTTTTCTCTCATATATAACTTTTTTTTTTTAACTTTAGTGAGATGGTTTAGCAGGCTTTCAAACAAGCTGTCAAAACAGTACATTGAGGATTAAGCAGAAAGCCCCCCCCCCAGCACTGGTCACTTTACATCTGAATGAAGTTGTTTTCAGCAGTGCTGGTGGGTGTTCAGCCTCAGGTAGATCAGGTCTTTGTTTTCCTGTATTGCTCCCTGTCCCTGAACCTGTGGTCGGTTACCCTGTTCAGAAATAATAGAATTTGTTTCTGCCTGGAGCAACATATCTCAGTGTCTTTTACTGGCTAAAACCTCTCTATGCATTGGGCTTTATTTTAATAAGAGCTATTTCCTTTCTTTGCCAGGATCTTATATCCAGTTTCCAATGATCTTCAATGAACTTAGCATGAAAGGGTTTATTGTGTACAGCTGGTATAACCGCCGGGAGGAGGGTGTGAAGGCACTGCTCAAATGGGTCCTGGAGGTAAGAGGGAAAGGGGTAATCTTCTGTAATGAGTGCTCCCATCATAGTTTCTGTCTTTGCTAGGGGAGTTGCCCCTTGTCTTAGCTGGTGAAGAGATGGCATGATCTTTGAGCCTTCTGGGAAACGCATAAACCATTTATAATATGCTTGACGCCTTCTGCTTTGTTCAGATTTGTGGTAATAGCTTGTGCTCTTAACTTACAATTTCAGAAACATTCTAAACAATTACCTGACGGTGAAGAGCTTCTTTTTTTTTTTTCTAAATATAAGCTGAATTTAAATGATCTACCTGCTCTTTGAGGACTGGGTAGCGCTCAGTGTGTCCTGATGAGTTTTTCTCTGCAGTGTTTTTGTTCCCTATTTCACTCCAAGGGGTGAATCTCCCTGAAAGTGGGTCTTCTCATGGAATTGCTGCATACAAACTTAGTTTTGCAAAGGTACCAGCGTTTCCCATGGAACATATGTGCAACTTAGTATCTTGATGATTGTGAAAGTGACGCAGCTGGCAAATGAAGACTGGGAATATTCTCTTATTCTTGACAGGGAAAACTGAAGTACCACGAACAAGTCACTGAAAGATTCGAGAACATGCCAGCAGCTTTCATTGGAATGCTAAAGGGAGAAAATCTTGGAAAAGCTATTGTAAAAGTCTGAAGGTCACTTCTTCCTGGGATACAAGCGCAGGAGAATGTGATTCTGTTTATATAATTTGTAAACTCAAATGTTAAAAAGGTTTATTTCTGTGTTTTTGATGAACGCTTGGGGATAATTTCTCTTACTATTGGCCTAATAACTGTAGGTATGTGCCTGTGGCTTTGAAGAACTTGAGATTGCTTTAACCAGCTACGCAAAAAAGCTCTAAAATGTTTGAACCTCACCAGTACTGAAACTGGTTTAACTGTACTTTGAAAAGAACCTAAGTTGACTTATGAAAAAGCAAGAGGCAATTCTGAAAGCTTTCCCAGTAGATGGCACACCCAGTGACTAATGTTTGTCTATTGATTTTGTCCAGAACTGTGCAAGAGGGAATTTAATTTTGTAACCAGTGTTAGTGAGCAAAGATCAAGCTAACAGTGTATGGGGATTCCAAGTTTCCTCACATAGCTGTATTTTTTTTCTTCTTCTTCTTTTTTTTTTTTTTTTTTTTTAATTAAGGAATGTAGGTATCAGTTATGCTGAGATAATGGAAAGAAAATAAATCTGTTAATGGATACTTCACTTGTATTGCATTTCTGTTTGTGGAATAACCTTTTTTTTCACTTTCTTGCAATAACACATGATCTTGGAAATATTTTAGCCTCCTACTACAATATGAGTTGTCTGATTAGATCTCACGTTTCCTTAAGTAGTGTAGGTCTGATCTTGTCATGATTTCCAGCCCAGCCTTCTTGGAAGATGGTATCACTAAGCTGGCCCTGTCTGTTGTACTGCTGTCAAGGTCCCACCTGGTGCTGAGTGAAGAAGGTGCACAGTTTGCCAATGATATACATCTTAGACATGGGAAAAAGTTGAATGAGAACCTGTTACTAGCTACAGGTTGCAGAAAGATATTGAAGTTGATGGTGATCCATTTCTGGGTAAAGAATAAACACTGCTATAGAGGAATGCTGAGTTGATTTTTGAGTTCTTACTATTGATATCTGATAGAGGGATTAAAAGAGGCCTTAATGTTTTTGCAGTGGCAGGACAGGTGACCTATTAGTCAACAGGAAAAGAACATTTAAGACTTAAATCAAGTGAATGAGCAAAACACATCTTGAAACTAGTCGGGTAGATGTGAGAAAGTTGTTTTGGAGCAAATACTGTAGGAGAGGTGTTGGCTGTGCATATGACTCTGAGGAGAAAGCCTCACCAGCTTGGTTTTCCACTAGCTGTGGTTTTCAGTTGGCCTTTGAGGAAAATCTGTGAATTAATAACTGCTGTACAGTGTGGTAAAAGGTAAACAAGACATGAGGTTTTGTCAGTAGGGTTCGTATCCGCTATCTAGAGATTTGCTGTTGACGTTTCCCTACTGAGAGTATTTTCTAGTTCTAAAATACTGTGTTGTTTTAAAATCACTTGTTTAGTGTGTTGGTTTTGTTTTTTTTGTTTGTTTTTTTGTTAGGATTACTGGCTTCAGCCTGTTAGTTGTGTCCTCTTACTATCTGTATTTAGATTTTATACTTCATGAGCTGCAGCTGATTTTGCAAGCTCTACCCACAAAAAACAAACAAACAAACAAAAAAACCCACAACGCACAAACCTGACCTACTCCACTTTTGAACCTCTCTGAAGAGCATGGCTATTTCTTCCAAAAAATTCAAGCATCCAGTTTTGCACTAGGAACCATGTTGGCACCAAGTGAAGCACTTACAGAACAGAAGTCTGGTCTGAACTGGTTGCTTTTGTGACATTAGCTACATCATAGCCAGATGTCACCCCTGCATCCACCCTCCAGTTATTTCTCTGCTAGACTAAAACTACGTTTACATGTTTTCTACACTGGATTCAGTGTAATTGTATAAAAAGTTCTCTTTTGCTTTTGGGATCTCCATTGTTTGTAAGTACGGGCGTTACAATCTCTTGTGAAATCACATGAGCTTGCAGACACCTCTGGAGATGCTGTAGGAGAGCCCTCAAGACAGATCTGGTGTGGGATGGGAAGGACATGGCCAGTCAGGACATGAGCATCTCCAGAGACTGAGACTCCACAGCCTCTTGGAGAAACCTGCCCAAGCGCTTGAACACCCTCACAGCAAAGTGTTGGTTCTTATTACTTCTGGATATTTTTATTATAAATTTAAGTGGAGATTCCCATGTTTCAGTTTGTGCCCATTGCTTCTTGTATAGCCACTGGATGGTTGGATGTTACAAAGAACTTTCTTACGCAGAGGGCAGTGAGGTCCTGGCACAGCTGCCCAGAGAAGCTGTGGGTACCCCATTCCTGCAGGCACTCAAGGCCAGGATGGGTGGGATCCTGGGCAGCCTGACCTGATGGGTGGCAGCCAGTAGCAGGGGATCAGAGCAAGATGGTCTCCTCCAACTTAAAGCATTCTATCCTATGATAATTCTTAGATTTGCGGACGATCATCACGTTGAGAATCATCCCAAAGAAAACCCTCTAAGCCAAACGGTGGTTTAGTAAGCTGGCATTGGCTTATTGCAGTGATGAGTGAGTGGGATCTCTCCACAAATCACACACAGAGCTAAATCACAACATGTATTTAGCAATGGAATATTTGTACAGTTTTCCAAAGTTCCTGCCTATTTCCAGGTCTGTCATATACATTAAATCTAACATTCTAGCTTTACTGATCAATTAAGGGGATTTGGCAAAGAGTCACTCTTGGTCTCTCAGTTTGCCCATGTATGGTGCTGATGCTGAGGGACATGGATTGCTCTTTGGCTCCTTTCCATAACATTTACAAAAACTTTTTCTGTGCTCCTCACATATTTATAGCATAGCTGCAACAAGAGAAAAGAAAGCAGCATCCTTAAGATTCACGGTGGTTTGTTGTTTTTTTTTTTTTTAATGTTCTCAGGATTTTTAAACTTCTATGACAAGAAAAAACTTCTTTGCTTCATGCCTGGCTTCCCTACCCACCTAACGACTCTTCACATGTTTGTCACACCACCCCAGCTCTCAGGGAGAGGCAAATCATACATGCTAGGATTTCTAGGCTGCCTCTTGTCCTCCAGGCCATTACCCAGAGCTACTGGCTGTCACACTACTGCGCAAGGGAAAAGCACAAGGCGTTCCCAGGGCTGGTCTGTGTATCAACATACGTACAACCAGAATGGGTCACTGCCACCTCATGGAGGTGAGCGTGTCTCAGAGCTGCTTTCTCAGCCAACAGCAAGGGGAGCTTGTCTGTGCACAGCAGCAAGCCCTGAGCACAGCACTGACTGGCTACCAGCCCTGTGCAAAGACAGCCAGCAGCTGCCCCAAATGCAAATCCTTGCCGGACCCCATCAGACTTCTCCTCCTTCCTGCTACAGCTTTCTGCTTGGTCTACGTGCCAAGGAAAACATATAGGAAAGCATTTCAGCACCAAGTGCATTTGGCACAGCCACTTGTCACTTGAGATGAAGAGCAGGATCCCTGCTACAACCGGGCCTGCAATGCCTGTTGTCAACCTCTTCCACAGAGACCTCAGATAGACCAGCTGTGGACTCACAGACAGTCCTCAAGCCACTTCCTCATGTGACTGAAAGTTGCATGCAATAGACCTTCGCAAAGAGAAGATGCTGTGCCCCAGTTCTCAAGCTGTGGAGGAGGAAGCAGACAACTTCCTCCACGTTAACTGGTGCTTAGAAGCTCAGTGCAATTACTCCCACCACTACTGCTCAGGGGTTGTGCTAGCTGGGTAAAAAGGCAACAGAACTAATGGACAGCACCATTGGGAAGGTACTCAGCATGAGGGTTGTGCCAGGCAAGGTTTTGAATACTGCATATTTTGAAAAGACAGAAGTTGTCACTTGCCCTTTATAAAGATAGCTAATTTTGAGGAAAAAACACTAATTAAAGCTAGCATAATTTCAAAAGCTCTTCTTGAAATCATTTGTGAGGTTGAAATCCAAGTCTAATATAATCCAGGTCTCGGAAGGAATGAAAAGGGGAAGGTCAATCAGAGCTGAAATTAGGCTGCGTATTGCAGAAAAAGATGTGGAGTAACACACTGGTTACTAAGACAATCCTTCCCTGAGTGCACTATAGCAGTCTGACACCATGGCTGTGGTTACAGTTTTGCTACTTCCCTGCCACATAACCCTACACTATTCCCTTGCTCACTTGACTGCAACCTTTGTGGCTTGTCCTTCCCTTTCATGATGGGAAGTTCTCTCTCATTAAACCCACTTACTCAGCCACACACTCCAATTTCTGTGCTGGAGGACTACTTCTCTTTCTGCTGACCTGTCCATCCACTCTGATGGGAAAGCTTCACAAACAGGTTTGCAGAGAACTTGTTCTACTGGTTTGACAGCAAGGCAGACATCTCAGCCCATTTTATAGCCAAATGACTGATGGCAGTCATCACCTGAGGGAAGGATAACTTCCTAACTCCTAGAAGGAACCTCCAAATGTTGTTTCAGCATGCACCAAATTTCTTCCACATGTGATGGAAATGAAAACAGTTCTTGTTATCCCCTTAAAGGCATCTTCCCAGATCACTGGATCAAAGCAGTTGTGTTTTTGCAAACAGTAAATCACATCCTGCTTCTCAGTCAGTGACTTAAATGTGTCCAATGAAAGAGCAACTCTGCAGCATAACATTCCGGCATACGGAAATACTGCTGTCTCACTCTTTCAAGTGAAAAACAGCTTGGCCATTTAGCAAGTAAATCACACCTACTGAGCTCTCCAGAGCATTACTTAGTAATTCCATGTCAGGGCCCACATCCCAGAATTTAGTAAGGTTACTTGTAGCCACTGCATTCAGGTGGCAGGGTTGAACCTGGCAGGCAGCTCAGTGCTCACTCCTCTGTCAACAGCAGGAACAGGAAGTTAAAACTTGTGATCAACACAGATTAATAGGACAAGAGGGGAAAATAATAGAATACAAAGTATATAGAACAAGTGACATACAGTGCAATTGCTCCACCAGGAACACCACAATGCCCAGCCAGACCTGAAGCAGCAGCCTTCTGTGCTAACGTGGTGCCCTGCTTTAGGACATCCCTTTGTCCAGTCCAGCTCAGCTACGCTGGTTCAGTTCCCTCCCAGCTCCTCACTGGCAGGGAACTGCCAGCCAGAACTGGAGTACATCCCTCCCACAGGGTCACTGCTGCCACAGGAACTGAGACTCCTTACCCCTCAGCAAGGCATTGCCATTAGGCTTTGCTTCCCAGTATTTGTAATGAGAAGAACAAACTTCAAACAAGGCATTTAGAAGGGAATATACTTGGCATTTCCTTTAAAAGGAAAGGGTACCTGACACACAAAGTTCTTCGCTGCATATTTCTTAGAGATGGCTTTAAGAATTGCTTTCAAGCCAGGCTAAGCAAGTTCTTGCGCTTGCATGCCAATTCTCAGAAACAGAAGATACTGTAGCACAGAAAGCAGAAGTCTTGCTGCAAGAACTACTTTGCACCCATTTGAGCACAAGATACTGCTGCCTTCCTTGATGCCTTCCCTCATTCCTATCTGAATTTGCAGTTTTCCCCCTTTCTAGCATGTAACTAACTACCTGGTCTTGCCTAATCTCAGCAGAGATACTGCAGATCTCAGTTGCTTCCTT